TAATAACAAAAACTCAACAATATATTTCTTTATCATCATCGTCAATATCGTCATCATCATCATCATCAGTTACTATTAATATTGAATATTTAATTATTGGTATAACAATAGGTATTATTATTATTTTATTTATTCTTTTTATTTTGATATTATTTTTAATCAAACAACGTAAGCAATATCCTCATTCATTAAAATCAACAACAATTGATTCATATTATCAAACAACTGGTTCGGATACAACACAAATTGCTACTTGTAATAATTCAATAGAAGAACATTCAATAAAAAGTCTTAAACATCAACAATCAATACCAATATTTTGTTATTGCCAATTACCATCAAATTATTGTCAAGATCAGCAATCTTATCATATATATCATGAAATTCCACTACATAAACCTCCTGTTATTATTTAATTTTCGTTGAGAACAGTTTTTTATCTTGTTTTATTACTAGTCAGATATTTTTTGTTTTTGTGAATATTATTAAATTGTGTAAGCGTAAAATCGTTCATAATTATAAATTAAATACTATTAAATATACAAGTTAACATAAAGAATTTCAAATAAGTTTTGTTTTCTTCAAACAATACTTGTTTCTTACATGTAGATATAGTACTAATGAGGGATGTTATTCTTAATACATGTACTATTCGTTTACATTACAATTTTGACACTTTATCATAGTCAACGAACACTATTGATTGACACATGATGGAACTAAAAAAAGATTGCTAGGAATTTAACTATACTTGAAAAAGAATTCTAAATAATATGCAAATAAAACAAAACATGATGCTGATAAGAAAGTTCGTAGAATCATTATTCCGTTGATTACACGATGAAATTAAATCGACTTTATCATAACTATTGATTATATCATCATGAATTATTTAATCATATTGCATTAGCAACAATGAATAGATGTAAAAAAATATTATGCAACTAAATATTCCGTCATATCTCAGTTGAAACCTGCCAAAGAAGAATGAAAAAGAAATCGCAAAGTTATAGATAAGCATATTTTACATGCAACACATAAAATTTAACAACACGCAAAGTAACCTGTAGTTGTTATCAGGACGCTTTTACGATGTATCATTAGTTTATCTGAAAAGCTGATTGCATAAATACGAGAAATATATGACACAAGACTATTATAAACTCACTTAAACGAACAAGTTCACTAAAGGCACCATATGTTCAACATCGCAAACATCTCAAAAGACTTCACCCATATCGACCAAAATTATACCAACTCTTCTTATATTACCAGTAGAACTGGTCTATCGAATTCTCGATCACCTTGATGCTTTCAATATTTTATTCTCCACGTGGAACATTTGCATGCGTATGAATGCAATTGTTGAAAGCTACCATCGGTATCAGATGAAACACTATTACATCTGAAAATTTCACTTTCATCAGCTTTAATAAAGTATTCATTTATCTGAAATATCAATTTATATAGTGTCACAATAGGGTAGTTTTCTTGCCTAATCATCCATTACTAGACCAAAAAACGAATTAATTTGACGATTTGTAGATAACGGCTTCTGTTTTCAGCTTCTGTTGAAAATTCTGGTTGACCACTGACATGATCTAATATTTTCTAAAAAGCTACCAGTAGTAAGAACCAAACAGTCACAAAAATGAGTACCATCATTGGGATCATGATAACTTAAAGAGTCCAAAGCGAGTCATACTCAAAAAGTACATTTCAAAGACCATCATTGACACAGAAGTAATAGAAACATTGCTAAGATCGATCGTTTCTCGGAACAACGTCTCTGCAACAATATTACATTACTGATATAGAACAAATATATGAGCAGTTTCTTTCCGTTATACATCAGCTAAAACAGTACAACCTACTATAACAACGTTTAAAATATGGATGAAGCAGATAAACATTCGTCCAAGCGTAAGAGCACGAACCAACTGTCCCACCAATCAGAAATTTCTCTTTCTCAATATCGAACATTTACAAGTATAACGACTTATTATTCCGAAATTTTTCAGCAGATACTCGGCTTCATCATTCTTTCCTAAGTCCTGCGATCCGTGTCTTCTATTCCACAACACTTTGACAGCAATCTATATATCTGACAAAAGTTTATGTAACTTACTTGCTGCCCTTTTTCACTGCATCTTTTCACAAACACGACCACACGCTGATGTCTATGAACTAAATGAGAGATTTCCTAATTGACGCAGCACATAACACTTATACGCCATATGGTAAGATCCATTCGCGAACTCTTCCAACATTTCAATTTTCGTTTTCCTACCCATAGACACTGACCACATTAGATGTCCGTTACAGACTAATCTAAGATCAAAGGACTGAAAATTTTTCAAAAAGTTCTCGAACAAAACAAAGTAGTATTCTCACCTACTCTAACTACCATCCACTGCCTGTTCAAAACAGACACTAACCACACGCGATATGTTTGCCAATAGAATCCCTGATGAAGATTCAGAACATCTTGCCAAAGCTCTTGAGCAAAATTAAGTAATATCTTAACCTTCTCTAGCTATCATTCACTATCTGATCAAAACACACATTAACGACATTGAACCTCAGCGGAAATGAAATTGGTGATGAAGGAGCACAACATATTGCCAAAGCTCTCGAACTATACAAAGTAATAATAGCATTCTTCTTATTTGTTATTCATTACCTGTTCAAAAGAGACATTGAACACACTGGAACTCTATGGAAATCGTATCGAAAATCAAGAAGCAAAACATTTCGGTGAAGCTCTCAGAGAAAACAGAGTAATATATCCTCACTTCTTCTATCTATTATTAATTGTCTGATCAAAATAGGCACTAATCACGGTGAATCTCAGTTTTAATCAAATCGATGATCAGGGAGCACAATATCTTGCCAAAGTTCTCCAACAAAACAAAGTAATATTCCCAGTTCCTGTATCTATCATACACGCTCTTATCACAACAGACACTAGCTATATTGAAGCTAAATGACAACAGCATTGCTGATCGAGAAGGAAAACATTTTGTCAAAGCTTTCGAACAAAACCAAGTAATATTCTCACATTCTCTATCTATTATTCAATACGTTTGGAACATAGACACTAACCATGTTGAGTATCAGTCATCGAGAAGATTACCTTTTGCATGCTCTACAACAGAATTGAATATTATTTTAACTTCTTCTGATGACATTGACTACTTTTAAACTGACTTTCTTGAGATGAAACATGAGAATGTGAGTTTAGGTACGAGTACTCGTGGTTGCTGATGACTTCTGTTCAAGCACATTCGCACCCGTTTTCCATGGTAATCATACAGGAGTTTCATTTGTGCCGTTTCCTCAGCTGTGTTGTCTTTTATGGCTTTTCTCTTTTTTTCTGTTTTCTTGAGATTTGATTTGAAAGAGACATATCTTGTTTGTTTCTGATCATTAACCATATCAACTGTATTAGAATTCGCAATACTACAAATCATCTTGTTTTGACTGAGTGTGATTTCAAATGATTAGTCATTGCTTCTATTGCTTTTCGAATCTTTGTTGGCTCAATCTAATTCAGCGAAATGATGGGAAGACATTCATTGTGGGTAATGAATAAGTGATGGACAATTTTTGATGTCACAAAAATGAACCCAAGTGAGCTAAAAAAGACGTGCGAAGGGTGCGCCGAGCCCTCGACCCATCGGAAAACGGCAAACCCAGGGGTCGATTTGAAATTTCGATGGGTCCAAGGCTAGATGGTGAGTAACTTGATAGTTAGCAGAAGCATAGGATCGAAGTTTTCGTAATATGTATCGTGGTGCTATCTGGGGCACGAGGTCTGCCCATCGGAATTTCAAATCGACCCCTGGGTTTGCCATTTTCCGAAGGGTCGAGGGCTCGACGATGGGTATCTTAGAAGACATCGACGGTGCAAAATCGAGGGGTCGAAATGCCTATCGGATGGTCGGTTGGGAATACTACACATAAATGAGCAGATGAATAAGTAAGATCATTATTGTAAGTGCCTATACTATATAGTTGTGGTTTGAATCTGAAATTTTATCAGCCTGCTTTTTTTCACCCTGTAATCATATGCAATGATTTGACGAAGTAGTGGACATCATCGTGTTCGATAGAACTGACCACTGAAATCATAATTGACCCTTTACCTCCATCTTTCTCCCTCCACATAGTGGTTTCAGAAGAGTCACTGATAGAATAACTTTTTCTTTAGAGTATTAGTCTGTATCAAATGCCAATTATGTGGTCTGACCTATCGAGTATCTATATCTTTATGTAAAACTATTTGATGGATGTAATGATCGTGTGGTAGAAGAAGAAAATTTAATGGCATATTAAGTCTTTATTCTGTTGTCTTTGGTCATATTACTAAGTGAAAAAAAGCAATATCAATCTTATCTATTGTAGTAATAGAAAAAGGAAACGAGTGAGCTGATAAAAATTAATCCCAAAATAATACATGTGTTTTTGTCACATCTTGTTAAATAAACATTTATTGTGCTTTGAGCGATTTTGACACCTCTGAAGATATTTAATTCATAATAAATACTATTTCAACTTCTCATAAGCCGAAGTTTATAATGTATATATTAGTTTTGTTCTTGATTGTCCAATAATGGTTACATGGTCAATCGTACGTGTAATTTACCAGATTATTGTGAAGCTGTCAAAATATACCTAACTTACAAGTGCGTTTCTTCATCGATTTATGTCATACAAAAATTCCGAAAGATCTCAGTTGCGTGTAAGTAGAAAATATTTTGTTTCGAAAAATTTGATTGTGTAAATCCAATATTTCAAAGACGGAACGATGAAGAACATATTCTTTTTATCGGTTAATTACACATAAAGGTCACTATAAAAAATGTTCTTATCCTTAGTCAAATCTTATGTTTTCTTGATTTTCTACAATCGTTTCACAAATGGTTACTTCAACGACCAACGCGAGGTAAAAGATTCATATGAGAAAAACAAAGTTCAAATTTATTATTGTGTTTTTTTTACAATAAAATACAAGTTTGTGATTTATTATTGTCAAATTCTACATAATGTTTATGTACATTCGATTCTTGTTGAGATAATTTTTTTCTTTTTAATTGTTCTTCTAATTTGATTGATGTTTGACTATGACTTGTTTTACGTGATGATAAATGTTGTTTAAAAATATTTTTTAATTCATTATCATCTTCTAAATCATTAATCATGCCAATAATATCAAAACATTCAAGTTCTTCAGCACGTGTTCGAAATGAAACACATCGAGAATTATTATTATTTATTGATTTTGATATATACATTCGACCAATTGGTGGTAAACCTAATTCAATTAAACATTGAATCGATGATATTGAACGATGTTCAAGTGCAAGAAATAATAATGGTACATAACGTTGACCTTGTAACCAATCATTTACATATGAATTTGGATTAAAATCTTCAAGATAAAAACCCATCGTATTCATATCATTATTAATTAATTTAATATTATCAATTGAATTTTCTTCAATCGCTTTTTTTAAAGGAAAATAAAATGATAATTTTAAATAATCACATAAACCTGGTAAACATTTTTGAAGTTCATTTTTAGGAAAACCTTGTGCATAAAATTCTTCACAACATAGATCACGATTATTTTTGTAATCATCAGGAAATAAATTTAGACAATCAGCTATCTGAAAAGCAAGTTATGATGTATATTACGAAAATAGAATTTTCGCTTTTTATTACTTTTTTTGCAAGTGCTTGTTGAAGAATATTAATTGCTATTTCATCATTCATAATACATGCATAATGTAATGGTGTACGATTAAGATTATCTCTTAGATTAATAACATTATTATAATTTTCACAAATAAAACTACAATAATTAAAGATCAATTTATAGACAAAAAGAACAACAACGATAATTTTTCTTACCTGAGAATTTGTCGACGTTGATAAAGTACTGCTAAATGTGCACATGTTCTTCCAGACCAATCTTTAGCAAAATAAATATTTGATTTAATTCTAAAAGTATTTTGTATTTTTACTAAATCATCATCTTCTATAGCTTGTGTTAAATCATACATTAAAGCTGGTAAACCTTGTCGTAATTTTAATGAACGTAATAAATCATTTACAAATTTTGTTAATTGTATTTTTTCATCATTAAAAAATAATAATAAATGATAACCAAAACCATTTAATACAAAACGTTCAATAATAATACTATTTTTCATTTGATCAATAATTACATTTTTAATTGTATCATAAAATATTCGTAATTTATAATAAGATAATGATGATGTTAATTCAACATCATCTACAATTGTGCGTCCCTGTTCATTACGTTGTGAAAGAAGTAATGGTTGATTATTAAGTAAATTATTAAATGTATTTAAATATTCCTTATTTTCATTTTGATCATATAAACGAACAAGATGAAATAAAAATGTTTCACCTTTTGATGATTTTATATTTATATTTGCATTTGATAAAATAAATTGTTGAATATCATTTGAAATATAATTATCAAACATATGAAAATAAAATGGTAAACCATCAGTACATAATATATTAACATCAATTTTAGATTTTAATATTGATGAATTAAATATAATTTCAAATGGTTCTAATGATTTTGTATCAAGGCAAAATTCAAGTATTGGTTTTGAATATGTTCGGTTTACTGTTCGTGCCCATGTAAATGCATGAATAGAATCTAAGGTATTAATTTTTATAAATTGACCTTCATATTGATGTATAAGCGATGTTCTTTCCCAATCACATGCAAGTATTGAATGAATAAATTCAATAGTTACTTGATAATCAGCAAGACTACGAATTATTTGAGTACAATTCAAATTACGAGCTTTCTCCAAAAGTGTTTCATTATTATTATGTTTACAGTCGACTTTAATAAAACCTAGAGAATATAAAAATTTTTAAATGAGACACAACAATGATTCAGTTTATCGGTTTACATCACTAGTTATTTTTCATCACGGATCTTCTCTCAAAGAGAGTTTAATCAATAATTTACCATTCCTACCAAAAACAAGATTTGAGGATCCGCAGCGGATACGAGCCGAGTAGCTTTCACAGACCAAAAATAACTCTTTCTCTGTGGCGCTCCCTCTCTAAAAATGATTCCTGTGAACCTGTCAGTCACGAATTATGTGTTTAGGTAAAAATGACTCGAAATTAATCGCTCTTTTTCTTAGCAATACTAACTTCGGATGAATATACGAATGAATTCTGTGTCATGTTTGTGTCGCTGATAATTAACGGTTAAGCAACTAAAATGTTTAATAGACATGATATTTGAGAGGCTTCAATCTTATTTTAGATTGATAATGCAACAAAATAGTCTATGAGATTTTTATTGTGATGAGTTATTTAAATTTCATTTTGTATTATTCGACTTCTATTTATTATCTATTGTGTTTTTTTAGTAGTCATAGATATTTGTACTTGAGCTTGTCGATTTTACACATACTTCAAATTCCATATACTTGTCTGAACTTTGATGCGATAGACTCCAGTATCTATCGATATCATAAATTTCAAAACTTTTCTCAAATATTACCAAACAGGCTTTTGTGAAACTTCAAGTTTCAAATGAGAAATCGACGTTCCTAATACTTTTCGATTCCTATTCTCCCCTATAAGACGAAAAACACTGGTTTATTATCTTATTAAATAATCATATTTAATGGGCATGTGAACTTAAAATTATTATCTAATACAAACTATGTCATTATCAAATAATAATTTGACTATTCACCTTTTATCAATCGTTCCGTTTCCTGAATATTATTCATTTCAATAGCTGCCCAAATTCCTTCTCCATAACCAGTATATAATGCAATTAATTGTGGATTATCTTCTAGATAAGCATCGGCTGTTTTTTCTTGTTTATTTAAAATACGTGGATCAACTCCAACACGAAATAAAGCCTTAATATACATATGAAAATAATGTTTGAACAATTTCATTTATAAATGTTTACCTGAACAAGATCAAGTCCAATATCAACAAAACCTCGAATAAGAACTTCATGTAAAGGTGTATTGCCTTTTCCATCAGTAATATTCGGATTGGCGCCAGCATTACTCAAGGCATAAATCATCCGATGAGCTACACTTTAAAATTAGAGAAACAACACAGATTAATTTTTTTCATGAATAACTCTAAAGAAATTGGAGTATTTGTCGTAAATGTGGTTATCAGTGTAAGTGTGAATCTTTTACATATGCTCATTGACACTCCTAGTCCATGACCCACCAACACGCATATATGCAAGCAAAGAATTTCTAAAAACGTGTACGATCGCCATATTCGCGGCTCCCGTTTGAGCGTATTCACGTTCACTCAGAAAATACTAAAATTAGCTATTGTCATCATAAAAATTCCCGAAGATACTTAAAAGGTTAGTTTTCTATTTTGAAAAAGTGTAATTTTTTTCTACAGTATTTTGACGAGTTTTGTGGGTAAATAGTACTTTTTTTTTCTATGAGTGATGTGTGTCACAAATATTATGAGAAAGGATTTTGAACATTTTTTTAGACTTAAAGTTGGCCCTTTCAATTGTCTTCAAGTACCTTTTATGATGAAAGTAGCGAGTTTTGTTGTTTTCTGAGTAGGATGTGAGTGTGTGATTGAGGATGTCTGAGAGGATATACAAAAGAGCCACACTCACATTGACACTCACATCCACATGTTCGCGACAAAATTTCTGGTCATTTAATTCTAATTTACTTTTCTTGTTCACTGGAATTTCGACAAATAATATGAAAATAAGAGCCTTCAATTGGATGACATAATCTAGCTAATTCTGGTTGTTCATGAAGTATTGAATTCAGTTCTTGTAAAACATCTTTTGAATAAATTGATCGTTGAGTGAGTAATTGGTAAAGACGATTATTACAAAACGGGTCACTTGTTCCAGACATTGTGATGAAAAAAGAAAATGATAATTTTGAAATCGAAGAATATACAACCAAAGTATATGTCAATTATTAATAAAACTAATATTTGCCGTCGAGACTAGTACAATGAATTCTATGATAAACAATCTTCCTAGGAGGTTGTCAAGAAGCAAGAAAAAAGAAAATAAATGTCGTGTTTTTAGACAGTAACTTCTTATTTTAAATTTTCTTTCTGTCATTAGAAGAAGAAATATTTTTTTCTCTTATACTCTATTCTTTTTTTGTAGTAGGAAAAAAAGAATATTTATTTTATCGTTAATTTTTTTTATTATGTCTAATGTGTGAAAATACTTTTTCCAGTTGTGTATATGCGTCTTCAGTCTTCTTTTGTTATTGTTCGTACGTTTAAATAGAAAATTATAATTTAAAAAAAAATTTTTTTTTTTGATAGAGAAAATATATGTGGGCATACTGGTTAAATAAAAAAGCATAGTTGACAAATTAGAATAGTCTAGAATACACTTTGATATTTATTATTTTAAATCTATTTTTCTGAAAAAGTATACTTAATAAAAAATAATGAGTCGACACGTATACTCGGTTGAATTACTATGTGTTAGTAATCAAATACATAGGTGTTTTTCATTTTAACAATAATCATAAACGAGTTTCCTTCATATGTTATGTTAAAAAGTCATAGTTTACAGTGTTATATGTAGATATGGTTTTTTCTTGAAGTAATAAAAGCCGTATTAATATAATGTAAACAACATTAGAAAAGAGAAAACAGCAGTAGATATGATGAATCTTGAAGGATCAAAATTCAGAATTTTCTCTTCGTGTATAAAAGTTATCAAAGATTGATCAAATATTACAGAAATTATGATGAATATTTCAAGCAGAAATGCGTATTGTTTGATTCTATTCTTGACTTACTTGATGCAGCTTAGATTAATATATAGATATGCAAAACAAGAAAAAATGAGATCTAAATGTAAGAAGATCATTCCATTCTCTAGTTTAGAAAAAGCATTTATGTCGTGGTTATTTAAACCAAATTCAATATGATAGAAATATGTCTCCTTTATTAACACGAATAAAGTAATGATAAATAATCATTAAAAAGACATGATTTCATAAATACATATGAAAAGTGTTTCATCAGTAATGAAAGATGACAATAGTTTCCTTTTATGTTGACATAGAGAAATGTTACACGGGGAAATGTTTCAATTTGATTTCTCTGTTTTAGTTACTTGTAGTTTTAAATGTTTCTCAGAAAACTCATAATTTGGAAGGATTGATCAAGATTAAAAATATGTAGAAATTATTTTAGCTTCAGTATTCCTGAACTTGCAGTTAAGAATACGAATGTAGCCCTATTTATGATGAAATAATTGATTAAATTTAAAATTTCTGAACAAATTAAATAACTAAGGAAAAGCTTTCTATTATATCTAAGGAATTGCTCCTTTGCGAAGCCTTATATTATGCAGAGATCTTCAAATACATAGGATCTTTTATAATAGAAGGAAAATCTTAGATGATAATTGTTCTAAATAAGAAATACTCATTGAAGTAAAACTTACATAGTTTCAATTGTGTCGAACGGTATTTGAAAATAAATTTTCCAGATCTTGACTAGATTTTACTATTAAATATCGAACAGATATTGAAAAAGTTAGGATAACGTCTTGACAGCAACCGTTGTATTATTCTTTATTAGAACTCATTCGTGAAATCAACGAGAGTTCATATAAATTTAGAAGTCTTAAACTCTGCTTCTTATCTCTTAGCTATTCATGACAGTTGAACACTGTCATTTAGACTTCGTATCTCTCATATGTTTCCACGTGTCTATCTATTCAAAATGAACTTTTCAAACATATGTACTGTGTAGTTGACTCTGTTATGGGCAGTCTACAACCATAGATGCTACTAAAACATAATATATGATTTCATAGCTTCAAATTTCCTGAAATTTTCATATAAATTTGTCTTTTCTTATGTAATATTTGAATAATTTTATTAGAAAAAACACAGATGATTTTCTCACTATTCAGACAAATTACTCGAATATTATCAATAACGAGAAATTGCTTTTTGATATCATTCGATCGATACAAGCCTTTGACATAAAACATCAACGAAGATATATTCATTTCTCAGCAAAAAGTCTGGCTAGAATCAACAAAAGATTACGTATTAACGACTATTATTAATTAAAAACAATAAAACGCATGTGAACACCAAGAAAAAAAAATAAAAGTGTGATAGAGCATTGAGTTTATAATAAAACAAAACGGAAATAGGACAATTCAATAAATAAAAAAAAATTAACTATAAGAGTGGCGTGTTCAGAGGCGAACGGAGGTAATGACTACCTCCTACTTTGAAATTTGCATTCTATAACCTAAATATCATTGTTCTTCTATTAGATTTATAGAAACAAATGGTATACATTTTTCACTACTTCCAAGTTCATAGTACTTATATTCTGAAATGAGCAATACGACTTTTATTTCTATCATGAAGCTGATCATTGACTGTAGAGTTTAACATTGAAATAGCCCAATACTCATTTGTGCTTGTTCAATCGACTATTACTATGCATTACAGTCAGTTAAAAAAACTACGTAATTCATATTTCAGATCATATTCGATGCAATGGTACCTTCAGCTTGAATATTAGTTCCTTTTCAAATCTATGCAATGTTATCCGTAACAACAGCTACAGATAAGAAAACTTTTTTTTCTATTACAGCTTAAAATATTATATCTTTAAAGTGCTACAGATGACAAGTTTTTGAACAGATCAGCTGCGATATATGTGTGTTCCATCATTTATATTGGTATCGAACAAGTCATCCACAATTTCTTAAAAATCAAAAAACAACAGGAACTTAGAATGTCTGCTATAAATTGATTCTTACTTGTTTTGTGTTGTCATAGACGGCAATACATATATATATTTGCATAGTTGATAGTAGAAAATATCAGAAAAACCATCAATGACTTGTTTACATCCATCAAATCTTTCAAACTTTAATAGATCTGCCCTACATTCTACTCAAGAAGATAAAAACATACTAAATCTAGTGCCAAAAAAAAAATCAATAGAAACAAAACATAACCGATTTTGAATAATTGATTCTTCTCAAGTATATGCCTCTTAAACCCATCATATGCTAGAAATTGCTATCGTAATCAATGTTTCAAACATTAATAATTCTGTAAACTGATGAGTATGAATGATTTTGTACCTTTTATTTCAAAAATACTCTTAAGACACGTTCCACGAAAACATCAAACATTTTTGAATATCGGAAAACATGTGGATCAATAGATTTTGGACTTGACTCCCCTAGGAATTTCTGACCTTATCTACCATAATTGAATCGAAAATATTACAATCTAAAGATTTACCTCTGGTTTGCTACAGTTTTTCGACTGTCGACATACTTAAAAATAGCTCAAAAAGGTGTGAAAAATTGACCTGTATCTTTGTGAAATGCTTTGATCGCAAATTTTTCACTATTCAAATTCAGTCATATACCAATCGATAGAGCTTGACCTGCTCTATAAAACTGTAAATATGGCATTTCTCTATGATCTCAATTTAGAATCGAAAAGTCTACAAACAGTGTTTTTTTAGCATATGAAATTTAGTCATTTTATCAGTATTTTCGTCTGATATCTAAGAGAGAAATTGATTATCAAAAGAAAAAATTATTTCATTTTGTAGCCCATTCAGTTCTGCATCGAATCGTATATTAGATATTGTTTCAAAATGTACAAGCAGTGAGATTGTACGACGTGAATATCGACACGCTGACACCATATTTTACCTATTCTGAGTGCCAGATCGTAGTCATATTTGTAATTTTTTTTTCTAGACAATATTTTATATTTCCAATTGATTTATATACCAATAGATAGATTTTAACTTGTTCTACAAAACTCTATATATGACATGTTTTTCTAACCCCAATATAGAAGCGAAAATATCAAAATACAGTATTTTTCAGCATAGAAAATTTTCTCCGTTTTTCAGTATTTTGTCCATATATCTTGATCATAAGAACGATTACCAGAAAAACTTCTTTTTTTTTCATTTGGTAGTCCATTTAATTCTGCATCGAATCATATATTTAGCATTGTTTTAAAAATGTTCGAAAGCTGAGATAATCAGACTTGAATATAGATCGATGACACAATATTTTAGTTATTTTATGTATAGCCTCATATCAAATTTCTGTCTTATTTCCTTCACATAGTTTCATCTTTCTAGTTGAATCATATACTAATTGATAGAGCTCAACTTGATCTGCAAAACTACACATGTGATATTTCTTCTTGATTCCAGTATAGAATCGAAAAACTCGAAATACAGTGTTTTTTTTTCAGCCTAGAAAGTTTCCTTTTCTCGCAGTATCTTGATTAAACGGCTATATCACAAAGCGATTGCCAATAATATAATTAGTTCATATTGTAGTCTATTCAATTCTGTATTGAACGATATGTAACAATAATCAATACGTACCAAATTTTATTCATTTATCAACATCATAAAGTGACTTTTAATATAACAAAAAAGTATACATTTAACGATTAGATATAGGAAAACTGACTACTTTTTTTCATAAATCAATCTTTTCAGTATCACCTTTTGATTGCGTATGCGTGTTTTCTTCATTAGATGGTGTATATACTTCTCGAAGACAAGATGAATCTCGATTTTTTAATACTCGATCTTCACAAAGATATTTTTCAAGTGGCATTTCATTTCGCACTTTTTTATTAAAATACCATTGTTCAATATTTTCTTCTTGTTCCTCAACCATTTCTTCGCACTAAAACAAAAAAGAAAGTAAAAACGATAATTAAATTTAAAAAACTTCATATATAGGAGTTGACGAACATATTTTTTTAATTGAGTTATTTCAGCTGATGGTGCATCCCACATTGTATCAGGAACATCAAGAACAACTTTCACACCTTTATTTCTAAAAACAACAAAAAAACAAAAGAAAATTATTAATTTCAATAAGAGAAATTAGTAAATATAAAAATCAAACTGACCGTAAGTTCCATAAAGTTTCCATTGTTTGTGATCGACCACGAGCATAACGTAATGAGCCAGGACGTTCAGCGTGAACATTATATTGGAGAAATCGCTCACAGACATTTTCAAGCGTTTCAATTAAACGTGTTTCTCTACAAATAGAAATATGAAATAAACAACATAAAGAAATTAAATAGGATACATACGAATCACTATATTTAGTCCTTTTGGGTTGTTTAGCATCAAGTGAATAACTAGTTTCAATAACACTCGGACTATTATGTTCTTGGAAGTTTTCGGTTAATTCTTGAGCAAGCAATTTACATACTAAATATAAAGAACGTTATATTTGATGTATTACGTGGACATGAATAAATTAGTTTGAGTAAATTAATCGTCAACTTTTCGCAATCGGATGTGATCATAGTTAAACACGGATTTGAACAGGATCTGAGTAGCTGTACTCGATATTCGATCGGAGCGCATCGACATTTGAGAAACACTTTCACAGTTATAGTACGATTTTCAAGTTTTTATTTTTACATGAAAAAGTATACTATTTAGTTTCTTTCCTAAACTGCAACAACGACAAGAGATCATCTCAAATTCTACAAAAACACAAATGATTCAGAATTCATTTGATGTCTTTTTGCTTCTAAAACCCGATTAATTTCGCCACTTATGGTTTTGCTTGTTGTCAATGATGTTGAAATGGTACGCAATGTATACATGTTGAATTTTTGGATAATTCATTGTCCTCTCGATGTATATAGTTACTTCGTCAATTGGTTTATCATCATCTGTAGATGAGTTTTTATTAAAAACAAATTCCCTAGACTGAAAGGCTAGGGTCTAGAAACGGAAATTCACCTGTGTCTGTCTGTCTGTCTGTAACACTTGGTACAAATGACCATTTTTGTGGTACAAAGTACCATAATCATGGTACAAGTGACCATTTTCATGGTACAAAGTGCCATAGTGATGGTACAAGTGACCATTTTCATGGTGCAAAGTACCATAGTGATGGTACAAGTAACCATTTTTGTGGTACAATGTAACGTAGTCGTGGCACAAATGATCATGTATTTGACACAATTGGTCACTTTCATTATACAATTGACTTTTGGTGTGGCCTAATTCACCGTTTTCATGACACAACCAACTGTTTCTATGGCACAGTTGACCATTCTTATGGCTCAAATGAGCATTTCTGTGTCACAATTGACCATGCTCGTATTAGAAATGGCCATTACTTGGACATAATTCACCCTGTTTTTGTCGTTATAATTAATTAAAGCATGAATTTTATCATATATATTAGTGTGTTTCAATATTTTGTGTGAACTATTTGAATATACCGGTAGTATGTAATATTGGACATGTTACAAATATTAAAAATTTCTCCGAAACGCATCATTATATAGAATTGATTTTTTTTAAATAGAAGAACATCTTGATCATTATTCCGTCAGTCTAGGGCCAAGAGAATCGACATTGAATGTCGATGAACGTTACCAGTGTTTTATCCAGGATTTTTTTTCCGGAGGGGCGATTTGGAATTTCGGGGGGGGCGAAAAATTATTTTCGGGGGGGCAAGCCACGTGTTCATAGCACGATGATCACAAGTTTCAGGGGGGGCGAACTCGATTTTCGGGGGAGCGCGGCCCCCCTGAGTACCCCTCTGGATAAAACACTGAACGTTACTTGTTCTTTTAGCAAAACAATATCGCTAATTTGTTCTCAAGTATAGTAAATTACGCAATCAAGATTGAATTAATTTTCATTCCTATGCTTTTATATAAATTAGCAGTTTGAAAAAGTAAAAAAATTGAAAACATCGAAATCTCATTAATTGTTGGGTCAAATCTGGATGTGGGATCATATCAAGAACCAGATCTGGTTGCAGGATACTACTATTCATTATACGGGTATGTTTGAAAACATATGATTACGTTAATATTTTCAAAATACCTTCACATTTCGTCGGTAATCGATTGGGATCGTCTGCAAAATTTATTGAGAATAAACATAAATTAACAAATACAAAATACACAAACATTTATTTTATCTAAAATAAAATCAAAATCAACAAATTCATTCATTCATAACCATAACAAATACAGGTTTAGAAAAGAAGTGAAATCAATTGAAATTAATGTTAAAAAGAAAATCAAAAATCATGTTTTTCTGTTGCTAATGTACTTTAGAATGTTGAATCGATTTTGTATATTGATATGCCCACCAAATGAAAAAGAATTGAAATGGAAGACGAACTAATGTTAAATATTTTGATGGATGATTATTTGATCAAAAATCTTGTGCCATTTCAATATTAGCTGGATCTTAGAAAATCAAAAATATGTCAATTATAAAAAGAAAAAAAATTATTTTCATTAAATGAACTTACAAACAGCAATAAATAATGCAATAGTTAGCCAAGCACCTAATTTTTGTGTACGTTTAAAAAATAACATTAAACCACAAATGATCTCGCATACACCTGATAAATAAAGAAGTTCAAGATGATATGGCAACTAACGTGGCATAATTGAAAGATAAAAGTTGGGTGTTAAAAAATGAACAATGTCAGCAATGATATATAAAGTAGCCATAAGATACATAAAAAATAAACGAATATGTGTCGACATATTGTTAGTTTTGAAATAATCTAAAAAAATAATATACATGTTTCATAGGCTTTTGTTCTTTCATATATTAGGATACAATTCGAATGAAAGAATCCAAGCAACTTTTTATAGAAAAGTTTTCGATCACACATGTGAAGAACAATCTCTTGGCTAAGTGAATACGAGAGTTGAAGAAAAATACAAATGGCACAGACATTTGTAAATATGAAACGTATCTTTACATCTACTTCCAGAGATTACTGGACAACATATTAGGTAGATAATATCGGTAACAGTCTAGAACGTCCTTTAAAAAAATGTCCTCGTATACTTTGTCCTCACAAAAAATGTCCTTCAGATGAAATATCCCTAGTAAAAATCTCCTTTAAAAAATGTCTCCCATATAAAAAAATGTCCTTTCAGTAAAATTTCAAAAACAGTTTAGAATAATGTTGATAAAATTAATTTTATTTATAGTAACGAATTTAAATAATAAATTCAATTGAACATCTGAAGACCAAATTAAAATTCTTCCTGAAGGTGGTATATATTCTGATTGATCGAGTGAGAATTTTAGACCATCACTATCATATAGTAATAAACGATGATGATTGTGATAATCTTTTGTATAAATATCCGGAATAATAAAAGACGATGAATTTGGAATAGGAGGAATCATTTTTCGACGTATATATACCAAAGAATGATCTAAGAGGAGAGTAAAGAAAAGCAAAAATATTTGTTAATGTTACATATACAAATATTAATATCATACCAATATTAGTTATATTTGGTAAAACACCAAGAGCTTTACCTGTCAATAAACCTTTTCGTACTTCTTATTCAGCAATTTCTTCTAATGGTGCTAATTCATTTTCAACTCTTTGTCGTATTACTTCTTTAAGATTTCGTATTTCCAATTCAGCAGGATTTGGTAAATGAGAATGTTCAGTTGTTTTTCCAGAAAAACGCACAAATTCATCATTAAGATTCGTGTGTAAAAGCACACCACAACTTCTATTAGCAGAACGCAGAAATTTAATTGTTTTATTTTTATTGAAATTTTTCAGCTGATATTGATAACCATTGATAGTTAACATGTTTTTCGTTTATTTGATGTTGTTTTTGTAATTGTTGGTTTAGGTGAAATTGATAACAATGAAAATGATGATTCAGTTGGTTTTGACGATGAAGATGATGATAAGTAATTCATTGATTTTGAAGAAGAAAAAGATGATGATGATGTTTCATCAGTTGATATTGAATCACACGATTTCATTTAAAAATAATTGTTGTGCTTATTTGTAAATTTGTTATAAGTATAACTAATCGTACTAGAACATTTTTTTTGTTACTTCATTCATTATATTTTGAGATAAACCTCTATGTAATTAATATAAATCTCTAATACGATATGTATGAACTACAACGACATCTAGATACTGGACTAATTTTATTTTAACATCTTCACAAGAAAGTGAAGGGCATTTTTTTATTGAGGGACATTTTTTCAAGGACAAAAATCTGGAGGACATTTTTTCTGAGAACGAAAATGCGAGGATATTTCGTCCGAGGACATTTTTAAAAGGACATTTTAGACTGTATTCGATAATATCTATAACAGATATAAAACAACTAAATTAAATCTGTGATTACAATATGCCTTTCGTTCTTCTCATGCATCATATTTGTGTTCAATTGTATCTTTTCAATATTTTCATGCATAATAGTCGATAGATAGAATGATTTCTTACTAGATTTACCTAATAAGGTAACTTTTAGACTGTAATCTTGTCTAAATTGCTCACAATTTTCAAAAATTTTCATCCAATTATATAATATCACTAATCATCTATGATTATTGACATTGAAGCTAAACTCGAATTTTAGAGAGCAAAGAATTTCACATCAGTCACAAATTCTTCTCATTATTTCTCATAAAAAAAATCTTATTTTTATGACTATTCGGTGTATTCCATAGTGTTTAGCAGTCTCTATTACCACTAAAAGGTATTTATCAGAAACAAAGGTGTGGTTATCGATGTGGTATGGAGTTAATGTGGTTAGATGTCTTTTCTTTACCCAAACTCACACCTGCATCAATAGCTCTCTCAAAGTTTATACAAATTTTGAGAGCAAAAGGCATGGGAAAAACTCTTTCGTAATTTTTTTAAACTTAGAATAGTTTTTATCTAATTCAATTGATTATATATTTATTCGCCTCATCCGAGTTGTACACTGTAGATATTGAACACTATTGGTGTATAAAAAAAAGCGATTCTCTACATGTTTCATTACTTTCAAAATAAACAATTTTATGATATCATCTGATGTCCATGTTTTTCATAACTGTCGATTACAGTCAAAAGAATAAAGTCTATTTCGAGAGAAACGTTCCCACAAGCGATAAATTTTTCATGCAACCGAAAGCTTATCGAGTCCTCTGTCAAATGATATTATTTGGAATAGGATACAAATTCTCTGTTAGATATTCAGCCAAACATTATTTTTTTTCGTTGCACATCCCAGATCTGCCAAATTGAATTTTTTGATCGAATTTTCTGTTGTCCATTCTCTGTTATGACTAGATCACTTATTTTAATAACACACGAAAGTTTTCATTATAAAAAAACAGTTATGTATATTTAGAATACTCGAAAACGCTGAAAAAGCATAATGAATAAGTTTAAACAAAAATATTTGGATAAACAAATGTTGATCGACGTTGCGAAAGAGTTTTTCGATGCCTTTTGTTCTAAAATTTTTATAGGCTTTGAGAAACATTTCCAATCGAATTCTTTCATTTTTTTTTTGTAGTAGACATTTTGCTTTTTCTAACAAAAAAAAAGCAATGAAATCTCTTCGACATTTCATTTAATTGTTATATCGAAAACAAATTTAATTCAGAACTTTTGTCCCACTTGTTACTACAAGCAATATTTTCAAAAATCTCATTAAATTTCTAAATTACCTTATTATTCAAATGTTTCATCTAAATCAAAAAAAACAGTGCTCATCAATAAACAAGGCGAAAGCAACTTTTCTTAAGTCAAACATACCATTTATTTATTTTTTTCTCCAAGATGTCTCTCACACAAGTCATTTTCCAGTCATAGTCTCGAAGTTCTTTCTACATGACATAAAGTATTTCGATTGACTTTCATTTAATTGGAAAATCTTTTATCATTATTTATCTAAATAATATTATTATTGTGTGTTGGTTTTTGTTTTTTAATAGATCAATATTAACAACAACAGAAGAGAAAAAGATCACAAAAGATTTATTTGTCACACACACACACACACAAATAGATAACAAACAGTCTCTACATATATCCGTTTCTATTTTTTTTTATAATGAATATTTGTCAATATCTTGTATTTCAAATTTGATAATTGATTTAAGTAAGAAGTCACTTATTACATATTTTATATTTGATATATTTGTATGAAGATATTTTTCTTTGATTTTATTTATATTTTTTTCATTGGTATCACATAAAACAATTAACATATCAATAGAATTTTCATTATCATATAATTTAGCACCGGTTAATTCAATTAATTCAACTAATTCACTGCGATTAATTGAACCTTGGCATTGACGACATTCAATTGCAAATCCATACGTTAATGCTGATGATGCATTATTAAACAAATATTTATGATTTTGTTGAAAATCTTGTACTGATAAACGTAATGTTGTATGAGAATCACTTGTTATTTCAAATGGATGTTCATCAATAATTTCATTTAAACGTATACTTTCAGTTATCCAACGTACAGATATTATAAATATATGACGACGTGCAGCTGCTTGAACAATTTTTTTTGTTATGGTACAATGTAAAGGATTTTCACTATCATCAATAAGTAAATGCGTTGTAGAATTATTAACATTTAAATTTGTTGCTAATTGAACTTGAGGAAACTGACGAAGAAATGTTAGAACAGTAATCTAAAAATGAATTCGAGATTGATCTTTGTTTTTTTTTTTTGTAAAATGGTTTTTACCCATTGATGATCAAGAAGAGCTGTTGTAGAAATAACAATCTGAATAAGAAGAGAATAAATAAGAAAACAAAAACAAATTGAGAATGAAAATATTTATTGTGGTAATTGTTACTTTGTTAGCAGGAATTGTTGAAAGAATAATTGATTTAGATTGCGAAGTTTGGGATTCAAGTTTGCGTTTTTTTGTTGAATGTTCACTAGAAGTTGATCCAGATGAAGTTACAGTATTATTATGCTGGAAGACAAAAAAAAACAGTGTTATCAGAGATTAAATTGCTATCGTCCGAATGCCTATCTAGTGATGAGTAGAATCAATCATTTTTTGGTAAAGGGCAGAGAAAATTTTTGGTTCTGGTTTTGTGCTATCAAATATCCTACCTCTTGAAGATTCCTTACAACTTGTACTATCATCAATACTTTGAATATTCTGTGAGTTTGTATGTTCGAAAATTGTGCTGTTTATGAAAAAAGGATTGATTTTACTGTCAAACTTGTAACCGAAACCAACAAGAATTGGTGTTGGTCGTGACGGGATCAAAACTATCTTGCATAAATCAATGCTTATCTTTTATTTTCTAGTGTATATAAACGTAAAGCTGATAGTTTTCTGGATCTGTCAGTATCCGACTTGGATCGGACCTGATTACGAATAAATTTTTAGATTTCAAGTTGAATCTGGCTACAGTTTGAATGTTTGTGGATTACACGAGACATTTCGAGTATCTTTTTTGCATTCAAAAGCTCTTAAAAGAAAGCGTAGACAACCTTCATAGAATAAGAAGCTATATATTGCACAATCTTTTCTTGATTGATATGGAACAAAAATAGATAGCAAGTGCACTTTATATTCAATGGCGACATAAAAATCGCGGATTGTATAAATAGGTAAAGAAGGACAAACAAGAAAAAAAAATAGTAGATGAGCATATTGTCCGAACTGCATGTTATCGGAAATATTAGTAAGGGCAAGAATAGATCAAGGACGTCATGTCCTTTATTTCTAACTGCGCAATAAAAGGAAGAAAAAAGATTGAGACATTGGTTTTTCTCAATAGAAAGAAAAAAAATAGTCAATATCAAAGTCCAAACTTGAATCGGATCTAGAGTTTATCAGATCCGAAAAATATTTGAAGTTGAATTCGATCGGATCCAATAGGGTTTTGTCAGGTCACAAAAATTCAAGGCTTATCGGACATTAGCATCCAGATTAGGAACCTGAAAAGTTGCGTTTTGTTCTTATTTCGAAAGCTATCAACTTTTTTTCGTATTCGTTGTAGTTATTTAAATATGAGTAAAAATTTGCTAACTGAGATTATTTTGACGATCATAAGAACATTGCTTATTTTTTCGAATTAAAACGGAAGAATAAATATGAAAAAATAATGTGTAAACTTGATTAAAATATTTCTAAAAACCTAACTTAAAAAAGCATTGGTACTAGTCATGACAAGATCGAGAATATCTTGTTTATCTCGAATTCATACATCTACTGGAATTCGAACTAATCTTTTTAGTATTAGTATGCATTAATTCGTCAATATCATTTCTATAATTCCTTGAGTGTTGCTAGAGAAGAAGTGAAATTCACGAATCGAAGATTGATTACTCTTTCATAGTGCAATTTTGTTTAATTTTAGCATTATCATCCTATATAATTAGACAATGGAAACAGATGAATTTTCTTTTTCAAGTTTTGAAAAATACTAGTTGTTCAGCATGCTTGTCTGATGTCTCACTTTTCGTGTGTACAACCGAATGACGCTATGAGTTATCATAGAATTATTCTCTAATTGAATTTTGAAAGAAAAAATGAGCTGTTTTTCTGGCTAATTTGTTACACAGAACATTTTTTTCAATATATGAATGCTGACTATGATTACTATCATGCGTATCAATTGATAAATTATGAATGAAATTGTTCTGAACGATTTCTAAGGAATCTTAGTTGACTATCTGTGAGTAATTAAATTTTTAATCTTGCTAGGAAGTTTTGTAGTGTTAACTGTTTTCATTGTCTTACATTCACATCCATCTCCTGCACATCGTTGTCTTCTATAAAAAAAAATTATTATTTAAATTGATATGTTAATGAACAAAAAAGAAAACAATTTTACTCTGATTAGAGTTAATAGCATCATTTGTAGTAGTTGATTCTTTGTTTTGTTCCGATTCTTTAGCTGAAGCTTCAAGTAGATGTCTATAATTGTCATTAGAAATAATTTATTATAACAAAAATTTAACTACCGTCTACACAAAGCTTGTGATTTTCGAGGTACTTGGCTAGTACATGATGGAATCGAACAAATAAAACGTATTTTTCCTGATGCATCTCGAATTGTTCGACATGTTCTTGTAACTTCCGGCGACTAATAATGAAAACAAAAAATAAGTTAATATAAAAACACTAATTAATCATATTTTACTTTTTCTGGTGATTCATATTCTTCTGAATGATTTCCATTTGTACTATTTTGATTTGTTGATGTTGTAGTTATAGTTGTAGTTGATAATGGTGAACGAACATGATCTTGTGTTTCATTAGACAATGGTGGTGCTGAGTAACGTTTATGATTTCCTTTTTTCTTTTTATTTTGATTTACACTCGTATGATTAGTTGCGTGTCTAAAAGAAAATTATTATTATATTATATATATTCAAATTAATAAAAGCAATGGATCAACAGATTGATGTTTTTTTTGTAGCTTATTGAAAACCTTGATTGGAATAATAGAAAAAAAAATTTTTTTTTTAATAATAATTACGTTCGACAGAAAATATCAGCTTGGCGTTTGAGCATATTTGTACATGATTCGTGCATACAAAGATATCGACGACGACCTGAACTGTCACGAAAACTACGTGTACCAGTTGTTTCATCTACATGAATTTCACGATTTGCCTAAATAATTGAAAAAACACAAGTTTTTTTGTCTTCATATGAATAAATAAACTAACCTTAGCTCTTTGTCTAGACGAAAGTGTTTGTGAAGTATTGAAATCATTACTGCCATCATGGTAATCATCTTCAATAGTTGAATCTACATTAAGAGTTATTAAAAAATTCTCGAATAAATGTCTACATTGAAAAATGGTTGATCGTAAGTATGCAGATAATATTTTAATATGATACAATTCATTTTAGATGGAAAGCTAAACTCCTGAAGTACTTAGATTATTTTGGTCTCGGGGTCATCAAGTATAGTATGAGTTTGAGCAAGTACGAAACAAGTAAGGGTTCAAAAGCGAAATTTCAGTATTGAGAAGAATGAGTCAAGTACAAATGAAGTACGGTACTTCGCTTGTATTTAAATTTGTATTTTAGAGTATTGAAGTCTAGTTTTTCTCTCCTTATAAAGAACTGTAGAGATATCAGCGTTTCATTTTGGTTGGATTACGCTTTCAAGAAGCATTGTAAAAAATTTTAGCTTGTCTTTACTTTGCTTTTTTTTTATAACATAACACGATATACTCTGTGTTCTGAGAACAAAAAACTATCATAGATAAAAAAAAGCGAACACTCTTAACTTTGTACTTGTGTTCAATTTTTCGGCAGTATATGCCAGTCTTCGGATTCTGTAATTATGTGTAGGAATCTCATGTGATTAGTTAAATTCAAAGACTGAATGCAGTAGTAGCAGTATTTTTATTACATTTAATTCTGCCAACAAGAGTATTGGCTTAGTAGATGTATATAATACTGGTACCGATACATTTATATTTCAAGAGTTGGTTTTGTATTATTTGAAGGAAACAGATCGAACTATTCGAAATTGTTTCTAGACAGTATTTCTGATTAGTATCGATATTCACGCTATTCTCGTCTATTTTTTTAATAGATAAATAAAAATATAATTTCGTATAACACACTTCAAAAGGAAAATCTTACGTACCATGATTTCCATCTCCATTTTGATGATTTTCATCAATTGAATCCATAGTTGTATTTCGTTGTGCCTTCAAAATATTTAAAATACATAAAAAAAAAGGAACTTCAATTTAATCTAACCTGTGTTGGTGTTCCTTCATCAACTAATTCATCATTTTCATCTAAATCGTCTTCATCAACTATTTCACCATTATCATTTAAGTTGTCTTCATCAACTAGAAAATAAACTATATAATCATGAAATAATTAAATTCTATGTACTATCATCCAATTGTGTTGACGTATCAGCAATATCTGTATTTTCGGAGCCTTTTACTTGTGAATGACTAAAAATTAATAGGCATCTAAATCGATTTTTTAATTTTCTAAACTTACACTCGACAAAAAAAATCAGCTTCACGAGTTAAACGTGAATCACAATCTGGTCTTGAACATACATAATATCGTCGAGCAGATCCTCCTTTAGAAGATCGAACCAAAAAATATCGTCGACCTGTAGTTTTCGATGTGATTATTGTACGTTTCATAGATGGCCTCATCTAAAATAGAAGCGTTCTTTTACTTATGTAATACACCTTTTTTTCTTTTTTCGTTTCGTTTTGCTCGATGCTCCAATGCATACATAAAGTCGACAAGCTGTGTCATTTTCCACTCAATTGCGTACATTTTACAAAACTACATTAAAAAAAATAAGAAGTTAGCTCTAGCAATGAATTGCTCCACAACAACAGATATACAAAATCGTTATTTTTTATTTGGAAATTTCGGGGCTTCAGTTTTTATGATAATATATATAGGAATCTATGGGATGGGTATAATTTTTTACTTTGCATGTCAATTTATGGCTGATGCTCAAGATAATCATGGAAATGAAATTCCAAATGAATTTTTTTCAACATTTCATCATATCAGTGAACGACAAGAAATATACAGTATGAATATTAAAAAAAAAACTAATTTTGAAAAACTTAATCTATATACTTTTTCAGATCAATTAGCTGATGAAAATCGAGTTAAAGAACTATATAAAATTTATTATTCAGATGAATCATATAATTCAAAATTCATAGAAGAAAAAGCAAATCAGTGTTCAAAAAAATATCAGCTAAAAATTCAAAATCTTAAATTAAGACATGCATATTATATTATAGACACTTCGACACCACCAGCACTTACTACCATTTGATGTACAAATTAACAAATGAATGAAAACAAAATATTTTGTATTTAAAAGAGAATTCCTATTAAATAATTAAAAACATAATTTCAGAAATATTTTTTTTTGTTTTTCGATTCAATACTATATACAGGAAAAGAAAAAAAATTAGAACATTAAAATTCATTAATCCGAAGAAAATCAAATTTACAAAAGAAGACAAAGCATATCTAACTAAAAATTTTTATTTATTGAAATTACCAAACAGAGAATACACACATACACAGTTGTTAATGGCTTTCATTCAAAATAGTAGCAAAAAAAAAATTTTTCGCTTCTATGCATGACTCAATAATAATGAGCAAACTGAAAGTATAGATTTTAACTATGCAATCGTCATACATACAGGTAACGGAAGTGTATGATACAACTGTGCGTGGCAAGATAGGGTCAAGGCAAAAGAAATGTGCAGTGGAGCTTGCAGGGTAATTATATCTTACCTATCCTGTTGCGTGAGATAGGGTGAAGGTGAAAGATCCTTAGAGTATGATAAGACTATAAGAACAGCTTACTCTATACATCGCTAATGTATGAATAAGAAATTCTTAGATTGGAAAAACTTTTTATCAGTTGCATAATGGATAATAAGGAATTATCATAAAAACAGGAGCAAACAATCATAGATACATTTATTTTTTCAAATAAATTTATCTAATGATCGAATAGTACAATGATACTCTATCAAATTATTATCTAAAAGTTTGAAAAACATATTAATTTGATTCCGATAAAAGAATTTCTCAAAATATCTTGCACTCAATTAATCATAATTCAATAGCTATAACAAATAACTGACATGAAACAAAAAATAAAAACCAATCAGAATCACTTTCGATGTGCTTTTATGCTGTTTTATTAGCTACCAATGATTAATGGATTCTAGTCATGCCTTTCAATGGATTTTTTAAAAATAATTCACAAACTAAACGTATATAAAAAAAAGAAAGGATTTTGTCATGAAATGACAAATTCATTTAAATTTATTTTACATGAGTAAAAGCGACATCTATTGACTAACTGAATAATAAAAAAAAGAATGTGTCAGTTTTCTTATAGATGGCAATAAAATTCATTCAATGAATTATACTAAAGAGTATTGATCGAAATCTCCTTTGAGTCACTGAAAAGCGATGAAGACTCTGCCACTGGTTTAAACAAGCGGTGGCGCTGGAAAACTGTCTAGTCTTCTTTAGAAACAAGATGATCTTATATTATAAGTGAGGAGAATACCTAGAGATGTGCGGTTTCAGTTTATTGATAACTGACGTTCCCGATTCAGTGAGCACTGAAAAAGTGGCTATACTGCATCAGTACTACCAACATCAACAGCATGTCAATGTGCACTGATGCAGTATAATCAGAGTTCAGTGAATCAGTGATACCAGCGACAGTTTTTCCATTTTTCATACTGGAACTGCACATTTCTGATAGTCCCTACTTTACAGCTTCTACCGAGTACTAAGTCTCTCGTAAAACTTTTATTCTGGCTCTGCCATAAGTTTAAATATTCACATTGAATACAAAATGAAAAATAAAATTCATTGTATTTTGTGTTTTTATTTGAAATTCAGAAACAATATAATAGCACTTTATACAGTAAAAGATACGAATGGACAAATGTATTTTTATTTTGTCGTGACAATCATCGAATATAAAAACAAAAAAAAAAATGAATAAACTGAAAGAATATTTTAGAACTGAAAATGTGCATTATTTTCATTATTATTATCAGGTACAGCTTGATTTGTATTCATATTTCCAAATGAAAATTCATTACTAGAATTTAGTAATGTTGGTGCTTGATTCATTGATGAAATATCTTCATCATCCTACGCGGAAAAGAAAATTATTCAATTTATTTTATTATATGAGCTTGTATTTTTTTTTTGACTTACAGTTTCATTTGAAAAGAATTTTTCAATTATTTCATATGATTGTTGATATATATCACTACTTGAATGTGTCTGTAAATGTTCAATTTTATCAAGACCTAGATGAAATAATCGATAACAACGACATAGGTTACTTTTTTTTTTTATTAAATACCTCCACACTCTTCAATTTCTGTTGTAACTGCTTCAAGATTTTCTTCTGGTATTTGTTTAAGAAGATTATGAATAGCATCAAGGCAAACTTGTAATACTTGAGTATCTTGTTGTTGTAACAGATTACTAGAAATAGTTGATAATTAAAAATATAAAGAAAAAAAAGCAACAAATTATTTATTCAATATACCATAGAGGAGGTATAACACGTTGTGTAACTATATACTGTATTTGTTGTTTTGAACCACTCATCGTTAAGTTTGATATACACCAAGCAGCTTCTTTTTGTATTTGAATTTCACTCTAATATAAATATATGATGTATTTTGAGAAAAAGAATTTTTCTATACGAACATATTGCAAATGATGAATAACATCAGGAATTAATTGGGCATCAATTACGGCTTGAACTTGTTGCTGATTACCAGCTGTTATATTTGATAGAAACCAAACAGCTTCCTTAAAATGAAAATAGAAAATTTAAGAAAAAAAAGTATTTTTGATAAAGTTATACATAATGAAATAGTTAATATCATTTTCGAGATAGTTTTTTTTTTTCGAAATTTTAGTCAAAATACCACAACATGCTTTCAGCATCAAATGTAAAGAATAAAGTTCCGAGTGAAGACAAATATCTAGCTAAGAATAAACTGATTCTAAAGAACTAAGACTTTCGTATGATGCATTGATATACTTACTGATATTCTGATTGGAGATGACTAGAGTTCGATGGTTTCAAGTACAACTGTAAGTGCAACTGTTAAATTATCAAATAAATAAAGTAATGCTTAAATCGATCTTTGGAAATCTTCATTTGTTTTTTTATTCATGAGATAAAACATTTCAGTATATATATATAAGATTGTTTTGCTTAAGTAATGAAATATGTTATGTCTTTAATCTTAAGAAATCCAATAGAGCAAGTTTGTCAAAATATAATTAAAATTTTTTCATATCTATCTGATGATTTCAAGGTTTCGGATAATTTTCGAAATTGTTGAACTCTATAAATGATCCTTCCAATCTTGGAAAATTTTTGTTTTTCTCCAGCGAAACTGAACGATGTTCTTCTTTTTTTTTGTCCATCAGTGCAACCAACACAAGTTAATCCTCATCACTTCAATCTTGGTGACCTCGGAACTTCCTTGAATATGCCATAAAAAGATAGGTCTGGTTGAAATAACCCTCATGACCTCAGAAAAAGTAGCCCCCAATCGTTCATTCTTGTGATAAAGTACGGATATCTAATATATCAATATTGATATAACTCTCTCACTAATGGTTTCATTTGTTCTTCGCTTCCTATTGTCTCTCCCTGTTGCATTTTTCTCTTCGCTATAAGTTTGTATTCTGTGTGTGAGATAATTACAGATAGAGATATGCAATAGGTTAGTATCTATCATCAGCACAATAGACAATAATATTGCTATTCCTGTTCTTTGTAGATATGTATATATACATATAATAAAAACAGCAGCATGTGTCATTAGAAAAGAACCTTGATCTATTATCATTATTGTATATAGCTGTCGATCAACTTAGAATATGTGAGATTATCCAAGGCTATAATAATAGCTTTTGATTTCAATTTTTGTTTTCATCGTCTTTTGTTGTATTGATAAGATTATTATTACATGTCAAGAAAATCAGGAGTGTAAGAGATAACATCAAAATTTCAAGAGATGATGAAATCGTCATCATCTACATCCACAGCCAACCAGAAGATTTACAAGAGCTTACAAATTTTTTTTTATTTGATTACTTGAAAAAACGCACGATTACTCTAAATCTTACTTTGTTAAGTTTATCTTTTTGATGTTTGAGTAATTTGGGAAAATAACCAAGTGCTCCATGATTAAGAACAAGTTGTGTTTGTTCATCAGTACCTGTAACAACATTTCCAATTGCTCTCAATGCTAAAATCATAAATAAAAATAAAAATAAAATAAACAAACAAACAAACAAAATAACAAAACTCTACCAGCTGTAACAATTTTTATTTCATTATGATTTAATAATTTAATAATATGTGGTATCACACCTGAATCAATAATAACCTAAAATAATATCATCATCATCATCATAATATTCCTTTTCTTAAATTGTTTACTTGTATCATACTATTTCCACAATCAAGTAGATAAGCTAATGCCCAGGTACAATCCACAAGAATCTATCAACAACAAAACATTTTTTCTTCCTCTCAAAACAAAAAACATATCTTCGTACATACAGTAATATCTGTATATGCAATTAAATAATTTAAAGCTGGTAAAATTTCTTGTACAGCAATTAAAGACAATGGTGGATCTTTATGACGGCAAAGATTAACAATAACCCATGTTACATTACGAAGAAATGAAACAGGAATATCTTTTTGAATAAATTCAACTAATGGTTTTATAACACCTAACTGAACAGCATAATCACGTAATGTTGGACCGTCACCTATTTTAATATTCAAAAAAAAAAAAAATTATAATAAAACATAAAAAACCACAAAAATCTTTTTTTTTTGTTTCATGGTATTTACCAATAAGATTTCCCAAAGCCCAAACAGCTTGTTCACATACATTTGAATGTGGTGAATTTAAAAGACGTAATAAATATGGCAAAGCATTTGCATCAGCAACAGCTTGTGTTTGATGTGAATTACCTGATGCTATATTGGTTAATGCCCATGCAGCTTCAAATTGTAATTCTGGATATTGATCATATGTTAAATAATGAACAAATATAGGTAAAAAATTAAATTTGATTAATTCATCAATTGGTGGATTACGATCAATAGATAAGAGTTTTCGTGCTGAACGTATAGCTTCAAAACGTATTGTTGAATCTTCACTTCTAGCTTTTATAGCTAGATCATCAAGATTATAAAATTGATTTTGTTCTCGATCATCTTCAGATTTATCGGACATACTA